GAGTTTGGGGCGACTTATACAATGAGCACAATGCTGCGTCCGCATGCATAACATCTTATAAAATTGGACGTTAAAAAATAAAAAGCTGAACACCACGTAGGGAATAAGTTCCTATAAAGCTTAGCTTGAAGGAGAAGCTGAGAGGGGTTAACTTGTTGTTCCAGTTCAGATTTTGTTGGTGGATCTTTTGATATCAAATTCCACTACGTAGGCAAAAATCTTAAAATCAGAGCCCTCGTCGAGAACAGCCACCATGGTGAAGATGGGTGTTTAAGGATCGGCAATACCAAACAAATAGAACACTTTTCCTTTTTCCTATTCGTGAATTACAAAAAAAAAAAATTAAACCCCAAACAGGCCAGATGTCCCAGCTAAGTCAAATCAAAGGCTTTGCAGGGTAAGCAAGTAGTTGATTCAGTCTGATCATTTCTTAACACCAAATAAATGTACACCAGACCAACACGACAATGTACATCACTTGGCCAGATACGGATCACTCTAATGACAGCAGAAACGACAGAAAAGGCTGGAACCATCTGGACAGTCGGAGCGCTAGGGATTCAGGGGCGTGAAGAAGTAACATCACTGGAATAAACACAACGCGCGCGCGAACACACACACACACACACACAGACACACATCCCAGGGCTGCTGCTGCTGCTAGTTCCGAGATCACGCTCGGTTTTGGGCTTTGCTGAACAAACATATACACGCATTTCACACAACCCATTACTTATGCAAATGTATTTTTGCTACACTTATTAAAAGCGCCTCAAATATTTGTCTCTAACCATTTACTACTGTATTCCTATGTAAGTCTGTTTCAGAATATTCTAGGACTTCATTTCACGTTTAAATTACAATTCTTGTTGTCCTTTGACGAAGACAGCTGTTTGTACACCTTTCCCACTCTCTTGTCCTCTTAAATCACTAATATCTTTGTGACTTATGGCTGAAACACAGGCAAAGGCTTTGAAGGGACTGCATGCCCTGGCAGAGATCTGGTCTTTCTCACACCAAGCGGAAGTGATAGCACAAAACATAAATAAGGGTAGGGGAAGCAGAGGCTTGATTTCAGTAACATTGTACCTCCAGGAAGTTTAATAATCACTACCAACACTGGGCGACCGACATCGATCAGACATTGACTGGACAGTTTCACCTTTCAAGAGCAGGACGCAGTCTCACAAACTCTAACTCCTTGTGTTCTTTCACTAAAATGATTCGTATGACTTCTATTTGTGTCAAAATGTCACTGTACAATATGAAGAATCTCAGCCTTCTCCATGGCTTTCAGGAGCCATTTCCGAGAGCCTCTTGGTAGATGTGGTCCCTTCGTCCCTTGTCCAAGAGGACAGCTCTGGGGATCAGGACTCTATACCCAACCACCGGCAATGTAATGAAATAATTCCAGGAGACTAAGGTATTTTCTGTATTCTGGAGTTAGCTGTCAGGGAATTCGGCATTTCCGTGGTGAAAAATACACTTTGGCGACTAATTGGTGCCTAACATTCTACAAGTAGAATTTCAATTCCTTTGGCTTAAGGCTTTTCCCCTGTTACAATGCAAGTGACCCTCAAAAAAGGTAGCATTAAGCCTTACAATGTCATAGTAAAGGACTTCATCCCTTTCCTGAGAGCATGGTTTTCTGAGTGAGGAGAACAAACGAGGAGGCACTCAGGAGAGTTGGTGCTGGGAACGAAGGTCTGGGGAACATGGACCAGAAAGAGGACAGAGAGCGTCCCAGTGGCAGGCCTCCAACTCATTCACCGTCTTGCTGAAGGGCAGCCCCTGTCTGCATCCCTACCGAAATGAGGGCTAACTTGCCACTCGGAGCAGATTGCTTGGAAATCAACCATGTTTTCTGATCATAGTGAAGGCTCTTTGACATACAGGCATACAAAGGTTGAGAGCAATGGAAAAAGAGATGGTAATAAAATATTTGGTACAACGGCAGATAGGGAGTCGTTGATGGAACCACACTTGTGCATGGATAGAAGATAAACCGATATTTATAGAGTGCAAAGTGCAGGGCTGGGACGAGGGTAAGGCATGTGCGCAGCTCCCGAGAGTGGGCGCCTTATTCACGTCACTCTGGTCCTGGCCCTGGCAGATCCGGTTAAAGTGAAAGCTTGCTACTGCATTGACACACTTGGTGAGGATGGAAGGCTGCCCTGGTGAGGACGAGAGAGCCCTGGCCATGAACTCATCTTTTCTCAGGGATGGTTTGTGAGGAAGAGGGCAGGTGCATGGGCACATCTGCTCAGACAGATAGGTACAGCGGGATTGCAAGCTGATCTGTGTCGTCTAGAGAGTTAATTAAGATGGATATCCGGTGAAATGCGATTTGTAAGCCTTGTAGAATCTCCTCCATCTTTGCACGTTCGAGGTAATGCCTTCCGACTAACTGGTCGACTTATGGTCATAAGGCTAACGCAAACTCTTTTGCTGCCTGTGGTCCCGCCTCCTCAAAGCATACGCTATAGGCTAGGGATGCCGGTCATGGGAGTTGGAACTGAGGGACAAGTTTGGACCGGGGGGGCGGGACCTAGGCAAGAGATAAGGCAGGAAAAGGAGAGGAGGCACCAAGAAGATTTCCTGTTGTACCAAGAATGGCTTGCTATCTCCCCTCAACATTTGAACCACAAACATGTAATGAATGCCCACCTAGAGCAAAGCACTCCTAGCTACCCACTAACCAATCCTGGGGATGACTCCCTCTACTCGTGACTAGACTGAGGTCAGTCAGCAGAGCCTCCTGCTGCTATTGGCTGGAATCAGAGCAAGCAAGAAGGATGGAAACAACTTGAATTGGAAGCTGACCTCCTGGGGTCAACTTCACTTCACTTGTTATCGTTATTATCTACACAAGTAACAGTGGCAGGAAGAGGTTCTCTGAAAGCCTGCCTGGAGGGGCTTTCAGCCTGTCTTCTCCAGTCTTAGCAGAGTAGGTGTACAAGGCAGCGAACACTGGGCTATGGGCCTCGGTGGGAGAGAGCGAGTTGGTGTTACGATAATCACGGGCGTGAGACAGGCTGACTGTTAAGAGCAGGAAAGATGTTTGGTGTTATGGTCCTCACTGACTAATGAAGTCTACAGTTTGGTGGTTTGTTTGGGATTAGGTCCCCTGCTGCAAAATATTAAAGGAATATTTCTAGTCCTTGGTGTTCCCTCTAGCCACACCATCACTACCCCAAATCCTCCTGTGCTAATGAAAACACCACTGGGCATTTGAGGGCCATAATAATGATGCAGAAGACGTTCTAAGAATCCCATATACAGGTATACAGACTGCTGCAGAGGAAAGCAAGACTCAAGGCAGTGTTAAAACATAAAGGTGTCTGGGCATTCAGCTTTAGAACATTTTGGGAAAACCATCAGGAATAGCAAAGTGAGGGGAGAGGCAAAACCTGCTTAGAAGCAGCAAACAAGAAGCTTCCAGAAAAACCAGCAGATGTAACAAATCCTATACTATGTGAGTCTCGTATTCGGCTTGAGTTCAGCTGTTCAAAGCAGTTCCCAAGGAGAAGGCCCTGGCAGCATTTCACTTTTGTTAGGCCAAGGCACAAACACCCCTTCATTTCCCTACAGAGGAAAATGTTTCCGTCTTTTGGAATTCTGAGGCTGGGGCAGACCAAGTGTGGCATCCGTATATAAATTCAGGCCAGGAATGAGTCTATTTTATGTCAGGCAACCTCTCTGAAATTTGATCAGGACCTTCAAACCAAATAGTTGGGATGCTTTTGAAAGCAACTGGGTACTCGCTGCTTATTATTTTAAGCAGCCTCTGCCTAAACCAAGGGCAAGTGCAGATTGCGAAGAAGTTGGTGAGCCTGCCCTGTACTCAGAAGTCTAGAATTCAGAACTGTACCAACCAAGGGCCTAGGCCTAAGGCTTCTAAGCGAGAGGCCCAAGTCTCCTCAGCTCTCAGTGTAGATTTTCAGCTGCTCAGTCTGCTAGAGTGTGGGCAGTGGAGCTAAGAGCTTGCTTCTCATTGGTGAGCGAGGCGGCCTATCAAAATCAAGAACTGTTTGTCTCTGGGGCAGTTTCTGCATCCTCCAGGAGGTTGGCCAATGAATCCGTTTGAGGGTGGGAGGGGGGGGGATGGCGGTGGTGAAGGAGGAAGGGGTCTAGGAACCAGGCTACAATTTCATTTGACTTTGCTTTTCCCTTCTTGGGAACATGGACAATTAACCCTCCATTAATGGTCAGCCAGTTTTTGTTTAATGCATTGTCTGTTTTTTTCCCCCAAACTCCCAGCAACCAGACGTATGAAAATCAAATGAATCACTCCCCTTGCCCTGTTTAGAAAATTGAACTGACAAGTGCCTATAAGCTTGTGTGTGTGTTGGGGGGGGTGTCACAGGGATTGTTCTGGGGCTCTGTCAACATCCTATTTCCTCCAACCCCTCTACTCCCCCACAGCATAGTTAATTGAAAGTTGGTCACATGGTGGAACATAAATGGCAAAAAAAATTAAAAAAAGATAGCCCTTTTTTTGGCGTTATGGGCCACAGCAACTTGCAAGGCAGCCTTTTAGGTTTGGGATATATCCTTTTTAGTCCATACATTCTTAGTTTTGGAACAGAGTAAGACTTCCTTTAACCAGAACAAAAGCAACCACACACCACAGTCTAAACTGAATGGAGGTGGACAAGTTACACTTACTTTCTCTCCTCCTTGAGACTTTGATGACGCTGTTCCTTCAGCTAATTACTTCCTGTAATGAAGGTTATATGCAAATGAAACGAAGGTTCTTAGAATGCAGCATGAGCTGGGCACCGATCCTAGCTATCCTTGTTGACAGACACTTGAAGAATCTCAAGGCGCACGCGCGAGTCGCCTTGGCTGGATCTGAGAGAACACATGGCTGCCTCTTTTGGTGGCTGAACTTGGTTCACCCAAAGCAACTCAGTCCTGACTTTTCCTAGCTAAAGGGGTGGGGGGAGGGGCTACAGGTTCTTCGAAACTCATCACCCTGTTCTCCGCATAGACAATCAAACTGAAAAAGGCATGAATTTCAAGACAGAGTCACATTCATATTTTGCGTGACAAAAGCCAGCCAATCAACCCCATGCCGAAATAAGTGTACACCCCCAAACCTCTCTGGGGGGCGGGGTGCAGAGAGCTAGACTGTGGTTGAAGAGGCCTCAGAGTCTTTCTGCTTCTCCACACGGGGCCAGCAAGGCCTTGCCCAAAAAGTGAATCATCGGCAACGGCACCCCATGACCCCCAGCTTTGGCAGCGCCGGTCGGCCCTCTCACTGTGCTCCTCAGTGACAGAAGTCAGGGACGGAGCAGCTCGGTCAGTGACCGAAAAGATGGCGCAGGTGCTCTTGCGCCTCAGAATTTCTCCTCAGGGCACAGCACTGGGGGGAAAGAAGGAGAAAATCGGTAGTCAGTAACGGCAAGATTATTAAGTGTGAAAATGCAAAATGTCCGAAGGTGATTAAAGTGCCTGATGATTTTAGCTCTAGGTCTAGTGGCCTCTCTCCTGCGGTCCAGAGGGTGAATGGATGGAAAGGACATGTAGGCTCTTTTGTTATTTCCATGACTCCTTTCTAAAACCCTTTCTCTTCCCCTTCGTCTACTCAAGTTTAGTGACTAAACCCTGTTTGCTGAACCCTGGCCTTAGGTACTGGGGTTATCGGTGGTTTCGTAGTCTTTTGAAAATTGTGCAATAATTCTCCGAGCCAGTGGGTTAGTGGTCTTCAGCAGTTCGGCTGCTGAGGGCCGGGACTTTGGGGTTGCCTTGCTCCCCTTTTTCTGTAGCAAGGCCTTGAATTCGTCGTTTCTGCCAGCATCCAGGTTAGCACTGCCACTTGACCCCGCAGAGGCAGCTGACTCACTGACTGGAGAATCAGCTGGATTCTTCCCTGGTGAATGGGAGCTTGGTCTGCTGCCGCCTGCAAAGGTCTCCCCAGGCTCTTTCCAGCCAAGCAGCTTTCTTTTGGACCTAAATAAGAAAAAGTTTGCTTTGAGCGAATTCAACGCGGCAGATGTTTCCTAATGCCTCATATAACTTCACAAAGGCCAGTGACATGATCTGGAAGCTTTTACATAGCAGCCTCGTGTGTTGTTGCACTGACCAGCTTTCTCCCTCTCTCCCTCTCTCTCTCTCACTGCTAAGTCCTCAGAGTCCCCTGTCTGGCTCCCTGGTTGTACCCTCCTTTCAGTGCCCACAGCTGGAGGGCCTACAGGGTTCTGGGACCGAGGAAGAATTTAAGGAGTCAAGGCTATTTGCTCAGTGACTCTGACTCAAGACAGCCTGAGGGAACTGATGCTCCTGCACCTCTGGGAATTGGGATCTTTCTAGTTTTTCTCACCACCAAGCCCCTGCTCTTTGCCCTTGTCCAAGAACAGAGGGTCCCCATCCGGTCCCCCTTCACCTCCGTTCCTGCTCTGATACCTGGCTCGGTGCCCCACAGCACTTCTCCTTTTAAATTATTTTTTATTGACATAGAATGTATTATTTGCTTCAGGGGTACAGGTCTGGGATTCATCCATCTTACACAATTCACAGCGCTCATCACAGCACATACCCTCCCCAGTATCCATCACCCAGCCACTCCATCCCCACAGCACTTCTTGCTAAGATTTGTTTGGTACAACGAAGGCTGTGAAGGGTTAAATGTCTCTGTCTGTAGACAGAGCTGCGAGAGAGCAGATGGAGCCACAATAGGCCGTGCTGTTGCTAGGAGACGAGAGGCCTCTCACTCGGCACCTGGTCCTCTCTTCCCGGGCCCCTCCTCCACTTCACCCAAAGATGTCAGCAAATTGCATCTGCGAGGCCTCAGACCGCCATTGCCACATGTGGGTATCTGAACTTAGTCTCCAGTGCTCATGGCTGCTTAGAGGTCTCAACAGGGTAGGCATTTCCAATAAGAATTAAGAAAATGGGTCTCGACCTGTGTATCACAGTAAACAAATCTTCCGTTGTGCGTGAAGCCACAAACACATCATCGTCATCTTCGGCGATCCATTCGGCTGTTTTATCACTAATGACACTTTTTTCTGCAGTGCTCGGTTCCACAGAGCTCCCTAGGCATAAGAACCAGAAGGAATTAAATACTTAGACCACAAGAGTTAGGACAAAGCACATTCTCATATGAATCTCATTCGATGTTTAAAGCAACTCCAAAAGGGCTGTTGGGCAGAGACCCTTAATGTCTCCATTTCGCTGAGGAACACGATGTTCCAGAGGTTAGTGTTTGGCCAAGGTGGCCTGACCGGTGAAGATCAGCATGGGTCCTTGTTTTCTCATGCCTTTTCCATTACAACAGGTTCCCTGAGCATTCTCTTGCTTTGAATGCATCATTTTTCAAAAATCAAGAAGCTGAGAGTAATCTAAAGCAATGATTCAAGCAGTAGGTGGGAGTGGGACCGAGCTGAATCTCAGAGGAGCCTGTGGAGTTTGACAAAGCATAATCTAAAATTACCTGTGGCTTTGACTTGTTTGCCTGTTCTAGTCTGTGTGATTTAACTTGTGCTGAAAGCCCAAATCAATTACAAAAGGTCATAAGATTTTTTTAAAATTTTACTTATCTGAGAGAGCGAGCGAGCATGGGGGTAGGAACAGAGGCAGACAGAGGGGGACAAGCAGACTCTGCGCTGAGCAAGGAGCCCGATGATGCAATGTGGGGCTTGATCCCAGCACCCCGACCTCTCAGGATCATGACCCGAACAGAAACCAAGAGTTGGACGCCTAACTGACGAGCCACCCAGGCGCCCCAGGAAGGTGATAAGATTTTGATGTTTGGTATTAAGGGTTCAAAAAAAGGATGAGAAACACGGATGGGTGTGGAAGACAATCTATTAAGTGAAATAGGCAGTCCACAAAAGACCAGTGCGATGTGATTCCACTTACATGAGCTCCCTAGAGAGAGTCAGATTCATAGAGACAGAAAGTAGAAGAATGGTTGCCAGGGGCTAGGGGGAGGGAAGAGTGGTGAGTTATTGTTTAGTGCGTACAGACTTCAGTGTTGCAAGATGAAGAGCGCTCTGGAGAGGGAGGGCGGTCATGGTGGCCCAACATCGAGAATGTACCCAACGGTACTGAGGTGAATGCTTAAAATGTGGTGAAGATGGTAAATTTCAAGTCATGTGTATTTGACCACAATAAAACAAAAAGGGGACATGAAACAACGACCCCAGAAAAGGATGAGAAAGATTATCTAGCCTAGTCTTATTGTCCTGGGAAGCGCCAGCCTCAAAGAATCCAAGCAAGTGAGCTCCCTTTCCTCTAGAAAGCACTAAGAAAGGGTGCCGCTGGAAACCTATGCCATTGTTTTCAGAGGCCTGCGAGCCGGCAGTGGCACCGGATCACAGTCTGGGAACGTACTGAGTCCTGTGCGTGAAACTGAAATGAGTGTGGCTAGCGAAAAGTGCTGTCCAGTGAGGCAGAGAGAGAGTTCCCAGGGCGGGGGATGTGCGCCTGACCAGGCAGATGGATTCCTAAGGTCCTAGGGTGCGAAGACCTAGTTTGATTGTATTCTCTCAGTCCTGGGGGTTCCAGGGTGGACTGGCCCAAACTGGGCCTTGGAGATCCACCCCTTCCTGGGTCACTCCTGATCCCAAGGGCTAGTGAGTTCTCTTTGGAAGAACCCTAACCCTCAAGAGATGCCTCCTACTGACCCACTTGTCCGGGACTCAGGATCATTACTGGGGGCAGGGACATTTGCTTCTGTCTCTGGCACTCTGTGCTTACTCTCATCTTGCCTGGGATTGAAAGGAAAAGCCAGCAGACAGTTTACTAACCTAGAGGACTGGCCTCCCTTTCACCTTCAGCCAGCAGTGGTGAAGTCGTCCTCGTACCAGGGGACTGCAGGTGGTCACTGGTGGGGGGACCCTTGGCCTCTTCCTGCAGGGTGATGATGGGGCTGAGAGGCAGCCTCAGCTCGGCCCCGTATGCCTCCATTTGAGCCGTGGGTGAGGTGAGAGGCAGGTACAGCACGCTGGGCTTTTTGGGAACGGGAGGTGGGATCTTGCCTTTCTTTCTCTCCACTTCCTCCTGGCTCTGGAGGCTGATTCTTTCAGGCAGGGCTCTCGCCTTGGGGCCCCCGTCCTCCATCATGCCCTGGGGAGGTTGCTGTGTTCCTGAGAAGAAAGCACCAGAGGAACTGGCAAAAGGTGTGAGAGCGAGAGAGGAGGGCGTTGGCGTCTCCCCGGGGCTTTTGCCCTCGGGGAAGCTGGAGGACTTTGGTTTCCGCACCACCACTGTGAAGATGTCTGGAGGGAGTGGCCGCGTGGGTTGAGCTGAGCTCTTGGGAGTCATAGCCAAGGTTGGCGAGATGAGTGGGCACTCCTCGGGGACGGATGGTGGCTTGTGGACCAAGCTCGGAGGCCTTCGGGCCACGGGGGGCTTCTCGGCTATGGGAGGTTTCATCTTCCTCTCGGGCAAGGTGAAGACTTCCGCGGCTGGGTCCTCAGCATAGTCAGGGCTCTCCACGTCATCTTCCGGCTCAGATTTGCTGACAGACCTCAGACGCACGGAACGGAGGTCCGACTGAGTGACCATGGGCATAACGGGCTGGTTGGGGCTCGTCTTCTGGGCCAGCTTGGCCCCAAAATTGGTATCTGAGTGATGCCGGCTCACCTTGGTTTTGCCTCGAATGGAGATGCTCATCCCAGACAGATCCAGGTTGGTCGAAGAGGTGAGCGGCAGGTCAAACGACAGCCGCGACTTGGACATTTTCTCCATCGGCGAGGTTGCGGGGAGCGACGACTTCCTCTCAGGGACCACCGGACGCACCCGGACGCCACCACTCAGAGGTGGCAGGTGGCCCAGGGTCAAGGACAGGGACACAGTGGGCGTCGGGGTCTCTGACTGGCTGGAGTAGCCACTGGAGGGTGACATCAGCCCAGTGGGCCTTCCAGGGGAGGATACTTCCCTGGCCTCTACCTCGATGGAGAGCTGAGATGGTGTCGTGGCTCTGGACGTGGAAGGGGAGGCGAGAGACTCTGAGCTGCCCTGAACTTGGCTGCACTCGATGACTGTGGTGCCAGTGGCAGTGCTGGAGCTAGACAAGGACTGGTAGGTGTCGCCAGACTTCCAGTCAGTGAGATACCAGTGGTGGGAGAATTGTGGACCTTCCGGATCTTTGAAAGTTGGTGCAGCTGGGTGACCCTGAGCATCGGGGGGGGACGAGTGACGTCCTTGGTGTTCCAAGGACAGGCAGAGGCTCCTGGGCCTCTGGTCCTTGGGCAGTCCTGACCCACCTTCTGGCAAGAGGGCCAGCTCATCTTTGACCAGCGAGACGCTGCGCATGGGTGGGGAAGGCTTCTTCTTGGCCTTCCTGAGCGAGATACTCTTGGATCTCTGCCTTCTGTGCTGGGCCTCCTGCTGGGCGCTGAGGGAGGCGATGTTGTCGGCACTGTTACTGCCCTCAGAACTCGTACTGGCACAAGGCAGGGCACAGGCCTCGCTGGCCTTCTGCTCCTCCTCGTAGGCCACCTCCACAGTGCCCGAGTCTGTGGGCACAGACAGCGACCGCTCCCGGAACCTGCTGGTCCCCAGTGGGCCCGTCTCCAGCCTCGAGGTACCACTAGTGAGAAGGCCCATCTTGGAGGGTCGCTCGGAAGCTTGCCATCGTCGAGAAGGGTGCTCGGAGTAGGCAGCCGACCCGCTGCATCTTGCAGGGTTATCACGAGTGACCAAGAGGGCAGCGGCCTCCTTAGGAACCGGAGGGGGCAGCGAGTGCAGAGAGACCCAAGCATTGCCTGAGGAAGGATTTATTCCGTGTTCGCCGACTCGACTGCTCTGGCTGGCGGTGCTTGGAGTCATGTAGGTAAGAGTATCTCCCTTCCAGGAAGCAGAAAACGTCGATTCTGTCAGCCCGTTGCAAGAACTGGGGATGCTGTACACCATTCCCACGCTCTCCATGCCAGGGCAGTTTGTGGCACTGAACACCTGGAGAGGTTCTTCCGGCTCACTAGAAGGACTCCTTAGTACTGGGGAGGTGAGATTTGGGAACTGAGCTTCCTGGCCAACTGCAACTCTTCCATGCACACCTTCTGGGGTGGAATGACTGGGCCTGATGTCCGAGGTGGTGGCGTGGGCCACGCCACCTGCCAGCCTGCTGCTGTGACCTGGAGAAGTTAAACACAGAGAGTGAGTCCTGCCGCCGGGGATCCCCCTCGAGGTCGTCCTCTCGAGACAGGAGCACCAAAGCTTTGCCAAGAAGCATCTGCCAACAGCTTGGTCGGGATTCCTTGGTTCTTCCTCTCCCTAGATGAGGATGCTGGGGAAGTTGGGTCCTTGCCCATCACCACACAGTGAGTCACGGGGTGCCTGCCCTTGAATTATCCAGGAGCCTGCCAAGGCCTTGCTGGCTTTAATTATTCCTTTTGGGAGCTCAAATGGCGTGTGGGGCTACCTGGGGCTTTCCCCCACCCCCCGGAGCTTTCGGGCCAGGCTCACGGACTGTCCCAGATCTCAGTGCTCACTCTCTCCTGAGACAAGAGTAGGGGCTGTGGAATTGCCAAAGGACAGTGTGTGGGACTTGCAGCCCTGGCAATGAACCTGGAGTAGGCCACAGCTGGCAAGTTCAGAGCCTGGTTGCATTTTTGGCACCTGGCACTTTCTAGCTTTACCCCTACACAAAAGAGTTAGGGTGACCACAGATGCGGGGAAACCACTGTGATGTCCAAAGTCCCCAAAGATGTTCTCATCTACAACAATCATTACTGTCACATCATTGCTGCTCCTGTGACTATAATAAATGTATAAGAGCAGCCACCATTTGCTTGACGCCCACCATGTAGCAGGCACACGGCAGGCCGGTTACATGTAACAGCTCTAATCCGCGTGATGGCTCCGCCAGCTTGGTATTACTGTGCAGACGAAGGCGCTGAGGCTCAGAGGGGTTTTGAAGATTGGACAAGGCCTCATGGTTTTATTAAGTGGAGAGGCGGGACTCGCATCCATATCTCTCTGGTCTGCACCCCTTGGCTGGCTTCCATTTAGTGGCAGTAATGCTCTGTTAAGAGAATGCTTTTTGCAGTGGTTCCTGCCTTGATCCATCTGCCTAAACCTGACACATGTGCCTCTATTCCATGTAGAATGGGAGGCAATAACTTAATGAATTTACCAGTCTGGGAGGCCTGTTTTCCATATTCAGTTGATGCCCTTGACAAAGGGCCCTTGGTTATCCTTAATTACAACATCTGCTTTTTTTTTTAGGACATCCAAAGCCCCCCAACCCCCAACCCCCCACCCCTCACACACACACACACACACACACACACACACACACACACACACACACTGAATTACTCCTGGGTGGCAGGGCTGGTGGAAGGGAAAAGGGGAAAGGTCTGGGGCATCAGCTGTGATGGGGTCACCTTGGTCTCGCTGGGAAAAGTTAGAGAATCCAATAATGGTCCGCCTCCGCCTCAGGGTGGATTTGGGGTTCACGGCTGTCTCTGTGTTAAACAACGAGTGTCGCAAACTTGCATGTTTATCAAACTGCTGCCCTGTAGCCAAAATAAAGACACTTGGGTGCATCCTGGTTTCTGTTTACAGCGCAGTGGAAATCGGTCTGAGGCACACAGGAGGGGTGATGGCGGTAGCATGAACAGAGAGCATGAACAGAGCACCAACTGAGCGGCTTTTGAAACCCTCGGACCTCAACCTCATCAAGGACACTTAAATCTCTGGCTGTAGGGCCCCGGCAGGAGCATTTTTCTGGAACTTCCCGGGCGACTGATTATTTAGATGTACAGCCCGGGGTGAGAACCACAGGTGTAGAGAGACAGGTTGAGACTAGATGTTGCTTGATTGTAATCGTTTCTCAAAGAAAGCCTTTGTATGGGCCAGTAAGGACAGGGCCTCCAAAAAGCTGCCCCACTCGGCCCCCACCAGCCAGGAAGCTGCCCGATAGGCTGTCCTCCAGTCACCTGATCACATCTTATCAATGTTCACTCCTATGTAGTGATTGAGATCTATTTCTCCTGAAACCCGGGGTCAGTCTTTTCTCCAGGGGAATTGCTGGGGCAAGGGTGGGGTGAGGCACACTGCTCCCCACCCCATGCCCCCCGTGCTGTCCCTCATTCCGCTGCGGCGGCAGCAGCAGCGGGCTCACCAGACCCCACCCTCTCAGCCCCATGGCTGCATTTGTACCCACTGCCCGCCCTGCCCCCAGCAAGCGGCTCTGCGGGCAAAACTCAGGGCCAGGCTCATTTAGAGTGAGGTGGAAGTTGAGAGACAAAGTGCCCGCCTTCCCTTCATGAGTCTCTCTTCCAGGCCTTCACTCCCCTTGGCACATCTCCCTAGGCTCTGGGCTCTGCCTCTGATTTGCCTGCCAAGAGGATGCCGGGGGTGCCCGATGACCCCATATACATGGAGTGCTACCACATAGGGCCAGACCTGCCCTCAGAGCCTTCAGCAGCTTTCTCCAGCATACCACGGACCAGTGCTGGCTTCCAGGGGGCCTCTGGTCCCTTCAAGTTAGGGGGGTTTCCCGTCATCAGGTCACTGGCCCTAGCTCCTTCTGACATGACTGACCCTCCTCCTCTTCCACGTACAGCTGGTGGAGTGTGGAACATGAGTTAATAATGGGCATGGTCTAGGGTGCCCTGGGCTCCCAAAGCCACAGTCAGCTGAGCCGCATTTGCCTTGGTCTCTTTCCATTACTTCCCTTCTCAAACACTTGCTGCACAAGGTGAAGATGCCCACCTCCCTGGCAGACCGAGTGGCTACTGAACGTGCCCCGAGGCCCTGGCTCTGTGGCCCGGGTGGGAGCCTCCCTTTGAATGCCAGCACCACAAACCTCCCATTTCCACTCCGACTCCTATCTGTGTGCTACAAACCTTGCCTCCGGCACAAGAAGTTCTCTCTTGCCAAACCAAACCTAACTCACAAACTTGAAGTTCCCATGGACATTCCGAAGAGCACACGCGTTCACAGAGTCGTAGCGTTTTCTGTTAAGAGGAATTTGCTATCAAATGGGCTCAGTTAGTGTGGCAGTGCCAGGAGAGAGTGAAGAAAGAGCAGCCAGAGCCCCCCTTGCCTGCATGCCTCCATTGCCCCCCTCTCCCCGCGAGAGCCATGATCTTGACAGTTCAGGGTGAGCCAGCAGCAGAGAAGTCTCACTCCCTCCCCCAGTCCCCAGTGCATTTGGAGAGGATGGTCTGTAGTTGGCATGGAGGGAAGCAAACGGAGGTGGTGCTGATCGACTCTACCGGAGATGTTGATGGGTACAATGTCAGAGTGCGTGGAGCAAGGCTGAAGCCACCGCTTTTCCTCTAGGATGGGCAGAGGGGAGGGGCTATTCCAGGCAGCTTGCTTGTCGGCTGTGGTCAACAGGCTCAGGGAGGCCTCAGAGGCCCTCACACCCTGGGTGGTGGTCTCATCCTCGCTCAGCTGCCATTTTGTAGGCTGTTGGGAAAGAAGGTGATGGGAAGGGTGTGCTCCCGACGAGATGAGCCATGCCCACGGGATGGCTGTCTAGACAGGGTGGTCAGAGGCTTCGTCTGGGAAGCAGGGAAGTGTGGACGGGCTGCCAGGCCAGACACCTGCTGGGTAGGGCCCCTCTCGGCAGGGTCTCAGGGTAGCTGTGCTGGTGAGGAGAGGTGAGCAGCAGCTTCCGGTGGGTAAGGTGCGCGGCTCGAGGTCCCCCATCAATGAGCACAGAGAGAGCTCTGCCCTGCTGGCTCTCACAGGTGGGGGAAGAGGCAACTCACCATCGATACAAACTCCAGACGCCTGCCCGCCTGAGGCCTTGGGCTAGGAGTGGGCTCAGGGGCCTCATCAGCAGAGCGGAAGGTCTGCCCCAGAAGTCTGGCCTCCGAGTACTGTTCCTCATATTCTTCTGAAAAATAGCACAGTGGATACACACTCTAGGGGGCCACGGCCAAGCACTGGGCTGGGAGAGGACCGCAAGCTGGGGCTCCTGCTCTAGCTGCCCGGCCTGACTTGCCTTGTTTCTTTGTGGTTTGGCCCGGTGTCCGAGCCTCTGGCTTCGGAAATGGAAAAATGCCTACTCCCCAGGACTACAAGGGCCGAGGAGAAAAGTCGGTAGAGTCGAGTTGCGCTGGTTCTGAGACCAAGCCTGTGTCTTGACGGTCCCCACCTTAGGTGCTTGACTTGGAGGAGAGGCTCAGGGTGCAGACACCTCTTGGTCCTTTATCCTCTCTCTGAAGCCCTGCGGCTCCTCAGGTTTTCTGCAGGCCTACCAGGGAAAGGACCTGTCGGAAGCATGAAGAAATCTGCACTGGGAAGTCCAACATGCAGTGCTCCCTTGGGTCTCAAGAACTCTCAGCTGAGCTTCCGAGGGCCTGGTTCCCTGCACCTTCGTCCCACTGTGAGTGGTTGTCAGGTCCAGGAGAGCTAAGGTGAGGGAGAGGGAAGGCAGAGGTAGTGGCAGAGAAGGAAGGAGAAGTTGAGGGGCATCGCCAGCGAATAAGAGGGATGCACAAGGTTTGAATGGCCTTCACTGAAGTGATGAGTTCGATGAGTAGATGAGGAACATGAGAGAGCAAAGAACCAACGGGGGTGGGGCTCTCTGCTCATCTGAACAAAGACTTTAAGACTCATAGAAACTTGGAGGCTGAGGGGCCTCAAAAGTCCTCTGGTTCAACACCCCATTCTGGGCTTAGAGTTCCTCCTCAGCAGCCCTTCTAGATGCTTCTTCAGCCTCCACACAGACCCGCAGAGAAGGGGAGCTGCCATCCTCCCAAGGCAGCTCATTCCATCCAAGGACAGTTGGGGCTGTGGCAGGAAAGCTCTTCCTTATCTCAAGGTGAAATCTGCCTCCCTCCATGTTTCCTCCACCCACTGGTCCCAAATCTGCCCATGGTGGCAACAGAGCACACTGACTCCTTTTCTGCATGGCAGCTCCTCTCTTATCTGAACACAAGGCTCGTGGTGTCCTTTGGAATCTTGCTTCCCTAAGGTTACCACTGCCCTGGCAAGGGAGGCGAGGGTTTGGGCTAGAGTCCAGTTGGGTGGCCCAGCTACCATTTTCTACTCTCCATAAAAGTTGACCTTCATTGGTATGGGTAAACGAGAGCTGACAAGACTTCTTTTCGCACTTAACGTTCACTCAACAAATGCCTACTGAGCACCTCTTGGGGAATCCAGCTCTGTGCCGGGTGCTTCTGGAAACGCGAGGGTACTAAGAGATGTGATTCTTTCTGTCAAGAAGCTTGGTCGGTCGGGTTAGGTGGACGGACGATAAGCCCAGTACCAGTAGGTGAATGAGTTAATGAATGAACAAATGATATAAAAAGCAGTTCAGAACTATATAAGTCCTCTGGAGCTGGATGGCCCAAGGTGGCTCACAGGAACACTGGTGAAGGGAATGAGCAAAGTGTAGAACTAGTGTTAAAGCATTTTGAATGAGGCAAGAAGAGAACTGTGAAGAAAGTGTAAGGACTGGAAGTAGGAAGACATGGAGGAAGGGCTTCTGGGTCTGGAAGAGAGGCCTCAGTGGGACAGCGAGTGCCTGGAGTAGGCTATGGAGTTTGTGACTACCACTGAAATTTTATTTGTATTCATTACTTCATGGAGATATAACTTACCTACAGTAAGGTGTACAAACAACTTCAGTGCACAGCTCAGTGAATTTTGACATATGCATGGCCCTTGTAACCTCTGTCCAGGTACTGTAACACCCCAGTTGTCTCTTTCACAGCACCGAGTTTTAATCTCTTTGCGACTTACATTGGCTTAATCCCTCCGTTCAATGTGTATGGTTTTCGTATTGTAAGGTCCTATCAGCGACCGCACTGTTCTCTCTTTTGTGTTAACTTTAATACGGCGCCCAGCTAAGCCTGTGTTCCAAAGGACACGTATTGGGAGTTGACAGTGCATCTTATCGGGGTCTCTCCAGCAGCAAGATACTCTTACTGAGCAAGTTACGTACCATTTTTAATTCTCACAAAACTGTGTGCCACACGGGAAGCTGGAATCTCACTTTAAAGATGACTGATTCATCGGAAGCTTTAGGTAATCTGCATAATGTCCCACGGCTAGTTAGGTGAGGGATGGGAATGAGATTCTAGCTCTGTCTGATTTCAGAGATTGGATTTTCTCACTCTGCCCAGTGCATGCAGTCTGACTGCTCAGGCACCATGACTGGGCTCTTTGTCCAGGTCGTGTGGACCCAGCTTTTTGTACAGCATGCTCCTCTGTATACTCCAAAGACACTGGGCTGCAAATTGGGGATGAGGAGACTCTGGGTGCTGTGTATCGGGCTTACTTCTTTTTTGCTTTTTTTTTTTTTTAAAGTAGGCTTCACACCCAACATGGAGCCCAACGCAGGGACTGAACCCACAATTCTGAGATCAAGACCTGCTCTGAGATCAACAGTTGGTCGCTCAAGCTCAACCAACTGAAAGTCGGGCTTACTCTCATGAGGCAGTTGATCCCCAGGAGACACATGGACAGGTTGTGGCAAGAGCAGAATGGGTGAAGCCCCGAGGGGGAGAGACCCTGCAGATGCCTCCATTGTCCTTGGGTGCCAGGATTCCAAAGGCATGGGCAACATAGCAAGAGAGGGTCTAGAAGGTCTGTGAGCCCACCCTGTGGGAATTTCTCCCCCGGCTCCCTTTGTAAGTGGCTTGACCACTGCCCTGCTTCTGCCTCTGCCCTTTTCTCCCTCGTGGCCTCCTGAACCGAAAAATAAAGGGGTGGGGGTGGAGTGGGGTGGTGGTGACGAGCAAACAGCCCGAGAAATTGAGCCCTCTCGAATCATTTAGTCTGGAAGATAAAAAGATGGGGAGATGTGTGTGGTTTTTTGTTTTTCAGTGGGGTTTAAACTGTTCTCTCTCTCTTTTTTTTTTTTCCTCTTGCTGGTCCCTGTCCTCTTTCTTCTTCGCCTCCCTCCAGCCGCTGCGCATCTCGCCTGTGGGCTCCGGCCACAGCCCCCCTCCCTCTCAGTACCTTGCAACAGGCTCTGGAGATTGAGCTGCGCCTCTCGAAGCAGCTCCTCTACACTCGGGGGCCTGCCCGAGGAGAGGAACACGTTCACTGGCTGTCGCCATGACGACCTCGAGTGGGCAGTCGCTGTCGCATTTTCCCGACCCGAGTTAGCTGCAGCTAGGGAAGGAGAGAGTCAGTGAGAGGCGCAGGCGGGGGGCGGAGAGGTGGGGGGACGGGGGGAGGGCGGCGCGCGGTGGCCAGTGGGCGCCCGCGGTTCCCTAAGCCCCGCCCTGCCGGGGGCGGGGGGGCGGTGCGAGGCTGCGCTTAAAAGGCGGGGACTCGTCAGCCGCAAGATTTTTCCTCGACAGATCCTGCCGCAGTCCACTCCCTCCCGCTCCGCCAGCCTCCGCCCGCCCCGCCGCCGCCTGCCGCCTGCCGCCTACCGCCCGCGTCCTCGGCGCCTCCCGGCTCCCGCCGCCGCCCTCCCTCTCTGATCACCGGGACGAGGTAAAGCGCCCCGGGCTGAGCCCCTGGGCCCTCCGGCCGGAGCGCCCGCCCTCCGTGCTCGCCCCAGTGGGTGTGGCTCGGCCTCTCCCGTGCCCCGCCGCGACACTTCGGTCCCCTCCCCCCGCACGCGCCCCACCGCGGCATTTCAGCCTCCCGTTGCGGCCTCCAGCTTCCCACCCCCACCCGCGTCCCCGCCCTCAGACCCAGGGCCCCTGAGCTACTCCTAATGTCCGAGGCCGCAGGAAATCTAAACAGCCTGCGCATGGCGAACGTGGCCCTGCGAGAAGAATTAAATGCCCTTCGCGGGGAGAATGCCAATTTGGGCCTTCAGCTCGGCAGAGCCCTAGCCGAGGTTAATTCCTTGCGGGGCAATGTGTCGAGCTACATCCGCTGGCCAGTGCCGGTGTTGCCCGTCCTTGCCGAGGAGAACTTTGACTTCCCGCTCAGCGAGATCGACGCAGTTCCCGAGGGGGATCTGCCTTTCCTGTGCTGGCCTCCCCCTCGCGCAGAGCCCGAGTACGCCTCGGACGAGCTGTTGATTAGCGTGATCCAAGATTGCGGTACCTCCGACGCGCCCGTCGACCCTCCCCCGCGGGCCATTCCGCCCCCGCCGGCGCTGCCCCCGCCCCCAGCCAAGGAGCAGCCCGCGCAGCCTCCTCTGCTGCCGCTGGTGCGGCCGGAGTTAGAGCCCTTCTCGGGCGACCCGGTCTACCTGGCCGAGTTCCTGATGAAGCTAGAGACCTTCATAGCGGACCACGAGGATCATTTCCCCGGGGGCGCTGAGCGGGTGGCCTTTCTGATCACCTTTTTCGCTGGCCAAGCCAAGAACTGGGCCATCTCTGTCACCCGGGAGGGAAGCCCCCTGCGTGCCAACTTCCCACGCTTCCTGGATGAGATCCGCAAGGAATTCTGCGGCCCCATCCCCCCGAGCGTGGCTAAAAAGGCCATCCGCAAGCTCAAGCAGGGGCACTGTACCCTAGGTAGCTATGCAGATGCTTTTCAGTTCCTGGCCCAGTTCTTGTCTTGGGATGACTGCCGCCTTCAAAACCAATTCCTTAAAGGCCTGTCGGAATTCTTCCGCAAGGAGCTCTTATGGTCAACTGAAATGGCCGACCTGGACGAGCTGATTCTCGAATGCGTGGAAATAGAAAGAAAAGTGCGCGTGCCCAAGCCAATCCCACTCCCCGGAGTCCGCAACATCTTCTTCCCTTTCGCTGCGGACCCCAACGCAGACACTGATGATGAAGATTTCCACAGTGACGAAGATGAAGAGACACGCAAGCGCAGGCTTTACGACAGGGAGCAGCGGAGGCGCGTGAGAGCTGTTCAGGAGGAGACAAGGGAGGAGGAGGAGAGGAGGAAGAAGCAGGAAGAGATGCGGAAGAAGCAGATGGAGGAGATGAGGAAGAAACTGGAAGAGAAGGAAGAGGAGGAGGAGGACGACGAGGACGAGGAGGTGGACGTGGACGAGGAGGTGGATGTGGAGACAGTCAAGGATGAAGAGAATAAGGGCGATTTTGTGTGCCCGGTCCCGCAGCCAGACCCCGACGCCGACCAGGATGGGGACCAGGAGCCGGAACCGGAGTCCGAGGATGAGACCCAAGACGATGACCTGGATGAGATGATGGAGATGGAGCCGACTGTCGCCCACGCTTCATCTCAGACCACTGGCTACTACCATGAGAATTTCCTAGACGCATCGCCTCCCATCATTCAGCCCAGCCGGAGGAGGAACCAGAATCGCGTCCCGCTTCTGGAGGGCCTTCCGGGCACTAATTCGCCGTTCTACAGCTCGCCCCCACTGATTCGCCGCGCAGGTCGCCTGGGGCAACGCCAAATTCGAAGACGCCCGCCCGTGCTGTTCCGCCTCACTCCGCGACAGGGGGGCCACCGGGCCGCACGTGGCCGAATTCGCGTGTGAGCGCTGGGGCGAGCTCGCCGCGCAGAACACACCCTTCGACAGCGTCCCCTGCCCCTGCTATCGCTGCCACACCTGCCCTATTTGCTGACCAGTACTTGAGGGAGTTCCAGACCTGTAGAGCCCACAGAAGACCTGCAGAACTCCAGATCGTCTTGCAGCCATGACCAGAGAGGGACCCGTGTCCAAGCAAGGCCACCTGAGAAAGAAGGGGTCAGCAATAGTTGTCCTCTTGGAGCACACTCTGCTCAGTCTTGCAACAAGCTAGAGAGCAGGGTTCTGGGCCTGTTCCCATAAAAGAACTGGTCACCTCTTGTAATCCCCTTCTAGTTGTTCCTAACCCTCACCTCTCCTGCGTTTATTCACCCTGTGTTCTATGGTTTTATCCTTGGACTGGCTCACCAGGACTTCACCCAATGCCTCACTGAACTGCCCCCATGAGCTAAAGGACAGGCCATACCGAACTCCTAAAGCCACTGAGGCCACTTACGATATAATTGAAGGAGAGCAGGATGGTATCAAGAGATGTACGAAAAACCGATGCTGGCTTCAAGTCCCCCGTCCAGCAGAAGGGCCCTGAAGAGAACCCTACATCCAGCCCAGTGAGCGTGCACAAAGCCACATGTCAAATGGACAACATGGCCGAGATCCGCTCTTGACTGACCCAGCAAGCTGGTTCCTCCTCCCTATAGACTCCTGTATCAGGGCCCTTGGACCCACTCACCAAGTCTGGGACCCTCTCCTCTTACCACACTGCCTTCCCAGGCATCCCCAGGAGACAGAGCCCAAAGTTACAGGCTCTAACCCTTCTCTCCATGTTGCCCAAAGGGTGGAGGAGGGGCGGGGGAGGAGGGGGGAGAGGAGGAAGGGAGGAGGAGGACAAAGCAGCAGCAACAACTCAGCTTGACATTGTAAGGAGTGACTCTTTCCTTAGGGACGGTGGTCTCCTTCCCCGGCCAGGCCTTGGACTGCAGCCCCCAGCCAAAGGTCTTTGCAGGAGACTCGCCATCCTTGAGGTACCAGAGGAAGCCCAACTGGCCTTTCTTTCCTGGACTGCCAAAGAGAGAGAGGGCCTGAGGCCTGCTCTTTAACTTCGACTTCAAGGATTCCTTGGTTCTGAGAGGAGAGAGGAAGGTTCTGTCTCCAGCCTTGCAGCTGGGACCTCCTCCTGTTTCTCACATGGGGGCCAAGCCATGGCCAGGTGCTGGGCTTCGAGTAGACAATGAGGCTTAAGAGGGTGACTGACTCCTAGTAACTCCTGGGACTTCTGGGTACAAACCCAGCCCCCCCCCCCAAAGAATCCTGCTGCTTCTCTTGGGTCCAGAAAACACTGTTTCAGCAGTGAAAAATATATACTATGTCACTCTGGGCCCAGAATGCCAGCCAGATCCACTGCTGGCCTGAACTGCCCTTAGCACTGAGCTTCGTGCACAGTGCCTGGCAGCTGGGCGAGTGCAGCCACAGTGTCTGGCCGGAGGGAAGAAAACAGAGTAAATTATGCCTCTGTTCCTCACTGGAGTCTGACATAGAACCTCAGCCCAGCCTTAAGATTTTGAGCCTGGAGACAAGCGGAAGGAGCTGGAGGAAGAGGAGTCACAGAGAAACCCAGTCCTCCGGCTGGTTTCTGGTGAGGTCTCTATTCGTCAGTAGGAGGTAAGAAGCCCTTTTTGCTTATAACACCCTTGGCAGCCTGGGGAATACGGGGAGCCGGGTTCCTAGAACCTGTTGCTGCCTTTTAAAAAGGCTCCCCCCTCCTCCAAGGAGAAAAGTAACAGATAATCATAACAGAAATTTTGGAAAATAGAGAAAACTGTTAAGGACCGAACACCCCCAGGCATTCAGAATCTGGCCACACAAACGCAAGTGCTGTTAACACTTTGATGCCTTTCTAGCATGTTCTCCCTCTATCTTTTCAAAGCTGAGATCATGCTGTAAGCTCTTGATCAGCAGGATTTAAAATGGCTGCCACCTATGCAGTCATGCATACTGAATAATTTATTTAAGCAGTCTCCTAATTTGTTGGACATTTTAATTGCCTGTTTTTCTCCACTCCTGCCAGTATAGGAGTCAACAACTATGTAAAGAAAATTTTGTCTGTTTTTCAGCTACTTCCTCAGGAGAGAGTTCCAGAACGGGAACGGCTATCCTTCAAGGCTGTGGATCCTGTTTGCTGACGGTCGATGCGCTGGGCCTGCTGCCTGCATCCCTGCCGGAGAAGTGCAAAGGACAGGTGCCTTGCACCCCTACCTCCAGGGACCCTTCGGCATAGGCCCTGCTGTTCCCGTGGTGCCTCTCACCCTGAGCCCTTGTAGACTCAGCCAGGGAAAGAGCGGATGAGCAGTGAGCTGTTTTCTGGCCCTTTGGTGGCAGGGGGGCTTGGGCTTCCCTTTGACCCTCTTCCCCCACCTTTCCTAGATCTTTAATATTTGTTGTGACGTAACAGCCACAGGAGCTGTAAGAGGAACTATGGGCTTTGGGTGCTTTCTTGGGTTGAAAGAAGGGTGGGGTGGGGGGTGGGGGTGGGGGGGGAATGCATGCAGGGGTACAAAGGCAGCCCAAGGATTCCCAGAGACTCGGGAGGAAACCCGTTTGAAACAAATGTGTTATCGTTATTGTGTTATTGTTGCATTACTGTGTTGTGAAAATAAGAAATTGTTCTGTATGCTAAAGCTTTCTCCTCAATAAAAATATAAAGGGTGTGTAAAGACCGTGTCTCTCTGGATCATTGAGCAAACAGACATAGGCGGGCACT